GAGGCAGGACTCAGCCTGGTGCCTATGAGAGCATCCCAGCCGGGGGGAATGGCAGCGCCCTGGCAGCAGGGACCAGCATCCCCAGGGGCTTTGGTCACCCCGCAACTCCACAGTGGGAACGCGGCAGAGCCATCGGGTGCAGATGACCCTGGCTAAAAATAAGCTGTCTGCAGTTGTGGCCCTGCCAAGGAATTCGGAAAATGAACAACCAGGAAGGAATGCTGGCAGCGATGTCAGCGCTGCGAGGACAGGGAGCAGGCAGGCTGCTGGGCCTCAGCACCCCGCTTCCCTGGGCACACAGCAGCCCAGGACACGGCCCCATGGGCAGACGCAGCCTTGCAGAGCCCCACAATTGGGTCCCATTGGGTAATCTGCTACAGCTTAGCTGTTCGGCACAGGGATGGAGATGTGCTCGAGGTGTAGCAGACGAGGATGGAAACGGGCAGTCCTGATTCTGCCATTCCTCCACACCGTGCCCAGCTCCGTGAGCAGGACAGGACAGTGCACACTGGTGCCTGCTGGGTACCAGCCCCTGCAGCACAGTGTGAGGGCTGCGATGCGATGTGGCAGGGGGTCACTCACCGCTCCGAGCCACTGCTGATGCGGGTGGGCTGACTCAGGCTCACCTCCAGGGATGCCTGCAGAGGAAGGAGAGACGTCTCACTCCCCGCTCACTGCCCAGCACCCCCAACCCATCTCCCCACAATGACCGCATGTCTCTGGATCCAAAGGGAAGGGCTCACATCCCGGGAGCACGCATGGCTGCAGCTAGGGCACCCCTCAGGGCAGCCACGGGTGCGCTGGCCGCGTATCCTCAGCTCACCCCAGCAGGCTGAATACCGTGCAGAATTGCACAAGGTCAGTGCTGAGTAATACGCTTACGGCACAAAGTCCCATTGTAATGGGGCCGCTGACTTCCTGCCCGCGGCAGTGGGACGCTGAGCAGGGAAGTCCCTGGCCCTGCAGCGGGATGGGGATGGTTCCTCCTTGTGTGACACGACTCCATGTTGATGGAGCCGCACACGTGACTGCCCCACGCACATGCTGGGACATGAAGCACTGCCCCGGTACCAGCCGGCACCACGCCGGGCAGGGTGCAGGGATGCGGTGGCACGGGCAGGATGGCCCCAGGAGGTGCACAGGCACTACTGCCAGCTGCAGCCTGATGGGGGAAGACACAACCAAGTCAGAACACACTGCAGAATGCCAAGAAAAAGAGACAGCTGCTAAAATTAGCAGTGGGGACGGGGAGCAGGAGCTGCCCCAGGTATTGCTGCGCCAGGGCAGGATCGGACACCACTGATCTGTGGCATTAAGGGCATCTGCCATGAGCAGAAGCACTCTGTGCATGGGGATGGTGTCCCCCAGAGCTGTGCCACCCCTCGGGCAAGGAGGGCTCTGTGAGCTCCTGCATGGCTGGGCCGCGGGGACGGTGCCCAGCACCTCTCGTGACCCACAGGACGGCTCCTTCTCAGGGCTATAAATAACCAGAGAGGAGCCGCCACGGCCAGGCCAGCTGCTCCCACGCTCCCAGGAAGAGGCAGCCACACCACAGGCTGACGGGGACCCCACAGCCACAGGGCGGGCAAAGGGCTCCACAGGGACCTGGCGTCACAGCCACACATGCCAGACTCAACCTCTGGAGCCAGCGCAGCCCGTGGGACGCAGAAGTCCCAGAAGGCTTCTGCTGCTGCTGTGCCCTTGGCACCAGCTCTAGTGCCCAGCAGATCTATCTCCAGCCCTGCCTCCCTACCCCTGCCCTGGAGGTGCTGCTGAAGGTATCCCTTGAGAGCCAGGATCTGCTGCAGTGGGGGCACCTGGGCTGCCCGCAGCCCTTCACGGTCAGAGCACCCCAGCAGCAATAAGACCACACTGCAAACCCCAATGCAGGGCAGAGAAGGGCTGCAGTGAGCTCGGCTGCACTCTGCCCCACAGCCCCTCTCGGCAGCCATTCAGCCCTGCAGCTCCCAGCCTCCCCCCACTATCCCTCGTGCAGCCTGGCGGGAGGGAAGCATTGGCTTCCGCCGCGCCGCTCCGCTTCCCTGAGCAGAGGAAGCAGCCAGAGCGGGGAGATCTGGAAGGAGAGATGTGCTGAGAGCAGCCCTGCAGCGCTGCCTGGACCCAGGGCTGCGCAGAGCCGACGGGGACCCCCGCACCAACCTCACCCTCGACCGCAGCACAGAGCGGGATCCCGCGCCAGGCTCTGGCTCCACAGCTCTGCCCCGAGAAGCAGGCATAGGAAGCTCCGCTCTCCACGCAGACGCTCCGGATTTGGCTGCGCTCTATCACTCCATAGGCGCTCCGGTTCCCCCCGCGCCGCCAGGGCACCGGGAACAGCCCAGGGGGCAGCAGCCAACGCCACGGCGCACGCGGCACCGAGCAAAGGACGGCGGGTACGGTCCAACAGACGGGAGCCGCGGTGCCAGCCCTGCTCGGCCGCATGGCCGGAGGCAGCTCGGGCTCTGGGAGCACCCGCAGCCCGAACTAATGGGAACGTGGCGCCAGGCCCCGTGAATTGTGAGAAAAGCAGCCAGGCTGCCTCCCCCAGGGAGGGCGGGAGAGACTCTGCCCCCCGGGACCCCGACCGCCTCCGGCACCGCAGACGCGGACCCCGAACACCGGGCAGACCCGGGCCCCGACCTCTTCACTCGGGCCGGGTCACATCCCCGTCGGCCCCGGCACCGCGGCTCAGTCGCTGGAGGCGCACCGAGTTCAGCACCAGCCCGGCCACCGCGCAGCCCCCGGCGGCCAGAGCTCGCCCGCCAGCCCCGGCGGCTCCGATCTCAGCGCCCCGCAGAGGGGACGCGCCAAGGGCAGCCCGGCCCGCGGGCCCCGGCGCACCCCGAGCGAGGGGAGGACGTGCCCGGGCAAGCGGCGGCAAGGAGCGGGGCCGGGCGGCCGCTGCCGGGAACCGCCGGATGCGCTCGTGGCGTCCCCGCCACGGGGCCCGGCTCCGAACCCCCTCTCCACGGGTGGCCCGCGCGGCGGGTCGGGCTCCGGGCCCCGCTGAACCGCGGGTCGGGGCCGCGCACCGGGAGCAGGGCGGGTGCAGCGCAAAGAGGCGCGGCGCGGGGCGGCCTCGGGCCGGTCCGAACCGAACCGCGCACCGCGACCGCTGGCGTCCGGTGCCGCTCGGACCCACCCGGTCTCCCTGGGCGCGGAGCTCGAAGGACGCCTCCTCCTCGGCCTCGCCGTCCGCCTCCCGCTCCGCCTCGCCGTAGTCCCGCCGCAGCAGCGTGAAGCCCTGCCGGCAGCACAGCAGCCACCAGAGCCCGCCGGGGAACGGCATCGCCCCGCCGGGCCCGGCTCCCTTCCCGCGTCGCGCTCCGGCCGCCGCCGCCGCCCCGGGCGGGCCGGTCCCGTCGCGTCACCGACGTCCGCCAATCGCCGCGCGCGGCCCGGGGCGGAGCGAGGCTCCCGGTACAACGGGCCGCCGTTTGCGTCATCCGCCGGACGGGGGCGCGCGGCCGAACGGGGCGGCGGTCGGCGCCGGGACCGCGCGGTGGGCGAGAGCGGCCGCGGGCGTCTCTTTGCGCCGGGGCTGCGGCGCGGTCCGGCCTTGGCGAAGCAGCGCTTTGCGCCGGGCGGGGAGCCGCGGGCGCGTGGTGTCACACAGCGCAGCTGGCAGCGTCCCGTCCCGTCAACGCGCCGCAGCCCCGGCCCAGGAGGGCCCGGAATGCCGGTGCCGCGTGCGGGGCGCAGCTCCCACGTTGCACGGAATGACGCCACCCCACTTCCACCGGCGCGGCCCTTTCACCCCTCGGTGCCAAGGGCACGTTTGGTGCTCTCACAGCCGCGGTTGCACCGTGCGCACGATGCGGGCGCGGGGTCGCGGCCCGTCCTGCCAGCGCCGTCACCTCGGCTGCTGCAGCACCGGAAGGGTTAAAGCATCCGCCCGGCTCTCCGGGAGCCGCTGGGACCGGGCCGTGCAGGCAGGAGCCGCCAGCTCGCCTCCCACGCACCGCCAGCCCCGAGGGGCCGCGGGGAGGGAGCGGGGCCACTGCTGCGGGGCAGAGCAGCAGCTGCGGGACCGGCGTGGTGCCCGCGGTGCAGGGAGGTGCGGCGCGGCCGTGGAGCAGCCCGAAGCTGGGCAGGGAGCTGGGAGTCCACGGGACACGGGTGGTCGGTCAGCAGAATGGGGGCTGCGAGGGGATGGGGGCCCTGCGGTGCTGAGTCAGTGGTAATTGCGTTTCTGCCCAGAAGTAGGCGAAGGGTCCGAGCTTCCCAGTATGAGCTATGCTGATTACAGAGCGTGTGGGTGAGCGGGAAGAGGTCTCCAAACCCAGAGATGGGGAGGCATCGCCCCCCACACAGAAACCCTCGGTGTCAGAGCCAGGGGGAACCGACCCGGGGCTCAGAACCACCCCCTCGCAGGGAAGCTTGAACTGCCCCTGCAGACCCTGGATCTGCTGCTCTGGGCGCTCTGTGCTGGCATTGGTCAGCCCTGCCGGGAGGCCGAGCACAACAGGAGCAACCACCCTGTGTGGAATGCTTGGAGCCACTGGGATGGACCTGCTGGGGCCAAATCTCGTGGGGAAATGAGAGGAGAGGAAGGGAGAGGAAAACCCCTCTCGCCCATCGCCCTGGGGGGAGTTTCCAGCCTGAGCCGGGGCAGGATTTTCCCGAGGATCACACTGCTGGCCCCGGGGGGTTTTCCGACCCCTACAGCCCCAGTCTGGGTCTGTGGGCTCCATCGCCGCCTCTGCCCTGCTGGCGATGTGGAGGCTGTGACAAACCCTGCTGGAGTGCGGCTAGGCCGTTCCCATAGCGTGACTGAGGGTCCCAACCCCGTGGGTGTCCCTGGCTCGGGCAGACGCGGTCAGGCCCCGCAGCGTCGGGCAACTGGCAGGACAGGAAACGCTGGGTTCTGCTGCCTCCTGCAGGCATCCACCGACCACTGCCGCGGCGCTTCCCCGGCTTCCTGTCGCCTGCCCGATATCGGCCTCGGTACCTACTGCAGCTTCTGCTCCTCCACCCCGGAGAGCCTCCGGCCCCGCAGAGATGTGGCCTGACACAGCGTAGTTCGAGCAGGGTTTATTGCAAGGGTGGAAACGAAGGTGGAAGGCGCTGCCCTGTGGCATTGCAGTCCCACTCACACAGTAATGCAGGGTCCTACTGGGGCATGCATGGCACTGCATGGTGCCCTTGTGGCGTGCACCCCCAACCACTTGTGACATTGCATGGTCTCCCTGCAGCTGGGGACGTTTCCCCAGTGCTGGCACTGGGCTCTGCACGCGAGGCGTTGTCTCCATCTGCCCAGGACACAGTCTGTCTGTCCTGCCCCTATCAGTAGCTCCAGGGACTCCTGGGGCCATTCAGGCTTTCTCTGGGGGTTTTTGAGTCCCACGGATGCTGCCGCCTGCCCTGGGCACGGCACTACATTCCTATGCCACATCTTGGCAGGTGGAGAGTGATGAGCGCTGGCGAGGACTGGGGCAGCCGGGGCAGCGCGGGTCGATGTTCCCCACACAGCCGGCATCGCTGGCCAGCAGCCACAGCTCACGGCGGAAGCGCTGGCCCAGGAAGGCATAGAGCAGTGGGTTGAGGCAGCAGCGCAGGGATGCCAGCCCGCTGGTGACCAGCAGCGCCAGGTCCTTGCGGCGGCTCTGTGCACAGCTCAGCTCCCAGCTGGCCAGCAGCTCGGCTGTGTCCAGCAGCACCATCAAGCTGTAGGGCAGCTGCAGGGCCACAAACACGAGCACAAGGGCCAGCAGCACCCTCAGCGCCCGGTGGGGCTGAGCACCACGAGCCGCCAGCAGCGTCCGAGCCACAGCCGTGTAGCAGCTGGCCATCACCGCAAAGGGCACGGCAAAGCCCAGCACGACCTGCGTGAGGTTGGTGGCTCCCCGTGCTGCCCGTGACACTGCCGGGGGGAAAACAACGCGGCAAATGTGCAGGTCCTGGTGCTGTTCTGCTTTGCCGTAGACGAACTGCGGCAGTGCCAGCAGCGCGGCCAGCAGCCAGGCCAGGCCCACCGTCAGCCAGCCGTGGCGACGAGCCCGTGGGCGCAGGCGGCACGCGGCTGGCACCCGCACAATGGCCACGTAGCGGTCCATGCTGATGCAGGTGAGGAAGAGGAAGCCGCTGTAGAAGTTGAGGGCATAAACACCCTGCAGCACCTTGCACGCAGCTGTGTCTGGGGACCAGCCCTGCAGCATCACAGTGACGGCAAAGGGCAACGTCAGCAGCAGCAGGAGGTCAGATAGGGCCAGGTGCAGCAGGCAGACATCGGTGATGCTGCGTGCCCGGCGGTAGCGGGTGTGTGTGAGCAGCACCAGCCCGTTGCCCACCGTGCCCAGCAGCGAGAGCAGCAGGTAGATGGCCAGCTGGTAGGTGCGGGCAAAGCCCTGCACTGCCTGCTTCTCACACAGCTCAGGCAGCGTGCCGTCATCCCACGAGACGCTGTACTCCCAGGTGTAGAAGTCGGTGGTGGCCGTTATCACCATGGGGGTGGGGTTTGCCTGCACAGAGGGATTGGTATCGAGAGATCACAGAATCACAGCCAAACTGCTTCAGAAGACACCTTACAGCCCCCTGAGCCCCACTGCCTTCACTCTCTTTTAGTTTAAAACCATTCTCTCTTGTACTGTCACTGTCAGATCGTGCAAAAAGTCGCTCTCCTTTCTAGTGAGCCCCCTGCAGGGCTGCTCCGTGGTCTCCCTAGGTTACTCTCTCCAGGCTGAGCACTCCCCACTCTCTCCGTTTGTCTCAATGGGAGAGATGCTCTAACCAGGGATGCCCGCTGCCCTCTGCCCCACTGCAGTGCGCAGCCCCCACCCAGCCCCACCAAGCAGCCCCGCTGTGGGGAGCCCTGAGGGTGGCTCAGTTTCTGTCTCACGCCCACTTGGAGCAGTGGCAGATTCACCTCGCTCAGTCATTGCGAGAGCAACCGGGACCTTCCCGCACTCCCTGCTGCAGCACAGTGCTAGTGGAGCAACGTCACCCCAGCCCCAATGTCTCTGATCTGATCCCATGTCCACGAACCAGCTCTGACCCCATGGGGCTGCTCCGAGTGATCCCCAGGAGCTCACACTCGACTCACAGTCCACAGTGTCCCCTTGCAGGTGACCCCATGCGACCATCCCCAGCCTCGGTGCCAGTGGCCCCAGGTGCTGTGGGTGCAAAGGGACCTTTCCAATGCATTCAAATACCCACTCGTGCACTCTGGGTTTGACACTGATTCTAGGCAGAATCCGTCCCCAGCAGCTCCCCAGCTCCTTCCCTGCTCCAGGCCTGGGGACTTGGAGCACCAAGTGCTGCCCTGCTTGTCCCTTACAGCCCCCTCAGCCCACAAGGAGCACAAGAGAAAGTTTAAAAGTAAAAGCAAGAGCCAGAGAGCGATGTGCCCACCAGACCCTGTGAAATCCTCTCTCCGCAGCCCCTCACCTCCTCCATTGCACAGCAGGACCTCTCCCCTCCTCACTCAGAGGCTCCAGAGCCGTCAGTGTCTTTGAGCTCTGCAACCTGTGGTTTGACCGCGTGCCGCACCCGATACTGAGAGATGTGCTGAGAGTACAAGCCCAGCCCCAAGGGGGAAGGAGAAGCAGCCATGACCCTGCTCTGGAGCCGCATCCTGCATCTTTAGTTTGTGGCAATTGTCTGCATGCTGAGGTACAGAAATAACTGTGCTCTGCTTAGCTCTGGTGCTGCAGGGCTCGGGGATGACACCCAGGCACGGGGAGGAGAGACAGGCTGAGGACACCCAGCACTCGCAGGAGTTCCCAGCCCAACAGGGCTGCTGTCAGCGTCTCCCACTCTGCAGCACGGGCTGCAAGCAGAAGGCTGTGTGAGAGCCAGAGAGAAGCAGTGCCAAAGAGAGTGCGGGACTGCTGTGGGCTGGCACTGTCCCAGAGCAGCAAGCAGAGACGTGTTCAGCTTGGGCACTGCTTGCCCTGATGGGAGATGGCAGTTGCAGGAACTGCTGATGCATGGTATCCCCCTTGCCCACAGGGTCCCACACTCTGCTCTGCTGCTGTGCCCCTGTGCTCCATCAGTGCTGGGCAGGCGGTTTGCTGGTTGTTGACAACACCATTCCCAGCCCCTCCTTATGGGCCAGATTAGGATCTGCAGGAAAGAGGACCCATTTTGCTCTCCCCAGCAGGGAGCAAATTGATTTCAGGCTCTAGCAGGCTTTTTGCCTCTTGTAGCAATAATCCCTCAATCCCCCTTTCTCCCAGCAACAGTCATCTTTCCATGGCTTATCTCAGCTCTGTGCAGAGTCCCTACTGGCCCCAGGAGCTTTCTGCTGGCGCCCTGGGGCCATGGAGCTGCTGCAGGCTGGGCATCCGCAGGGTTCTCCCCTCCCTGCCCTTACCGAGGCACATACATGCTCTGGACCTTTGCTCTGTGCCTGCTCTGGGGGTGCCATTCTGCTGGGGGAAAGGAAGGGACACAGCCCTGGGACAAATGTCAGGATACAGCCTGGTTGGACCCACCAGCACTGTGAGGATTTGGGAGCCGGGAGGGCCCTCAACTGCATCCACATCCCCAGGGACGTGGCTCCAGCTCTTAGCAGCAGCACATGCCACCAGCTCTCCTCACAGCCCCTCTGCACCTGGGTCTTTCTGTTCCCTCTTTCACCACCTGCTCTGGCCTCAGCTCAGCTCCTGCACAGGAAGCAGCCCCAGCACCACTGCAGGTGATGGCAGCATTGTGGAGTGCTGGGCTCTTGCTGAGCACCAGGACCAGCAGCCCCCACAGCATCCCCATCCCTCAGGGCTGGATCCCCATAGGGCACCACATGGTCTGTGGGGCAGGTGGCATATGTAGGGCACACAGCTGCCAGCCCCCTCCCCCGTCCCCACCGTGGGCGTCTGGGGATGTTTGGGAACAGTCGCGGGCTAAATCCAGCTCTTCTGCGCCACTGGGAAAGACAGGCGACCCCTCAAGCCGCAGGCCTTAATCTGCTGCTTGATTACAAACCATCACCACATCTGCTGCAAGAGGGCTGGCAGACAACACTTAAATCCTTCCCTGCTGCAGCTGTGGGCACCGGGTGCTGGGTCACGTCTGGGGGGGCCCGCACCACGAGCCACCGGCGCTGCTCACCGTGCGATGCCCCACACAGCACCCACCCCGTGCGTCACTCCCCGCGCACCCCCTGTGCAGTGCGCTCCTCGCGCAGCGCTCTCCCCGTACGGCTCTCTCCCCAAGCGCCCCCGCTCCACTCCTGCAGGCCGCGCGCTTTGGGTGCCACGCGGGGCCGGGGCTGCCCCGTGGGTGCCGGCGGTGATCGGGACGGGCACCCCGAGGCCGCTCGAGGGCTGTCGGGCGGCAGGCGGGGTACTGGGGAGCTCTGCGCTTTGCCCCAGCACCGCCCGACCCGGGGCCGCCCCACCGCCACCGCCCCGTGGGCGGAGCCGCCGTTCCCGCTTCGCCGCGCGGCTGCAGCACCGGGAGCGGCGGCGCCGAGGGCGCTCGGGGCGCTCCAGCGATGGGCGTTCGCCGCCTCTTCGGGTTCCTGCTCGCCGCTTGCGCCGCTCTCCTCGGGCCCGGCCCCGGCTGCCTCGCACGTAAGTGGGGCCGCGGTCCCGGGAGCCGCCGCTCCGCACTGCGGGACGGAGCCGCGTTGCCCGGCACCCCCCGACCTCCTCCTCCCCTCGAGCCTCCCCCTCCAGCCCCGTTCCCCAGTTCTCATGGGCATCCCCTGGCGCCCCGCTCCGCGCTTTTCCCAAGGTCACCCCCGGCTACGGGTGTTCCGGCGTCCCCCCCCCCCAGCGCCACGCCCGGGGCCGCCCAGCCGCAGCCCCCGCGCCCGTGCAGGGCCCTGCCTGCAGTCTTCCGTGACCCCGCACCGGGAGCACTGGGATGCGCCGGGCATCGCTCCCCGCGCTTCACATCCCGCCCTCCGAGCGCCCCGCATCCCGAGCGTCGCGGGCCGGGAGGACGCAGCTCCGTGCGCCTCCGCCAGGACCACGGGCAGCGCCGCGCGGCTGCGGCAGGGAGGGCGGGGGGGGGGTGAGGCCCAACGCCTGCAGCTCGGCGGGGCCGGGGGGAGCGGTGCGGGAGGCGCGGGGCGATGGAGGCGCAGAGGAAGGCGCGGGGGTGACGGCTGAGGGTGGAGCTGTGCGGGCGGTGGGTTCGGAGCGGCTGCCGTTGAACCCACACGGAACAGAGGCTGCAGCCGACGCTCCTTCGGGACGGCGCCCAGGGGTCGGCCTGGCCCGGCACAGCTGTGCGGTGGGCTCGGGGACGCCGACCCCACCACATCCTCCTCTGCTGACGTCGCCTTCTCTGAAGATCTGCGGCTTTCTGACCCGGCCCCACCCGGGGGCTCCGGGCCCGGCAGCCGCCTCGGGCCGAGGGGTCGAGGCGGGGCGGGCGGCGGTTCCTCCGCTCCTACGGCACTGCAGAGGCTGCGGTGCGTCAGCTCTCGCCGCAGTGGGAGCGCGGAGGAAGGCGCGGACCCTCGGCCGGGGGCGCTGAGCGGTGCCTGCAGACCCGTCCCCAAAAGCGGGGACAGCGGGAGGGGCCGACGGGAGCGCCGCCCCCGGTTCTCAGCGCGGCTCGGCAACGCAGAAGCGCTGGGTCACGGTGCGGGGCTCGGCGGCTGCGGGCAGCGCGGGTCTGAGTCCATCGCCCGCGGATCCGCCACCTTCCGTCACCGCTCCTCCGTCACCCCCGCCTCCCATCACGCAGCGTGGGGAACTGCCCCCCACGCGTCCATCTCCCATGCGGCTGTCTGTGTGCGGTGCTGCGGGGATTGGGACGCCGCACCCAGCGCCCCGTTCCCCGCAGGGCCGTGTTACGATGAGTTGGTTGGATCCCTCTACTCCTCGTCCATCGGCGCCTCTTCCCGATACAACATCTTCTACTCGGCAAGCTTCGCCCGGCTGCACAGTGAGCACTCCCACCACGGGGACGGGAACAGCACGTGGGGACAAAATTCACGGGGTGTAGGGGCCGTGGGGACGTTCCCCTGCAACGTTTCCCCCTCAGCATCCCCCTGATGTGCAGGGAGCTTCCGCTGCGGGTACTGGGCTGGGAGTGTTGGGGCTGCAGGTTCCTGCTGAGACCCCTTCCCCCCCCCGCTCCCATAGGCACTAGCGGGTGGTCCCCTGACCCCCGTGACAAGCAGCCCTGGCTGCAAATCGACCTGATGCAGAAGCACAGGATCAACGCAGTGGCCACTCAGGGGACCTTCAACACATATGACTGGCTGACACGCTACATCGTGCTCTATGGGGACCATCCCACCAGCTGGAAACCCTTCTTCCAGCAGGGCAGCAACTGGGTAAGCACTGCCCATCCCCTGGGGGGTGGGAATCTGGGGGGTGCAGGCAGTTGTTGCTCCAGGCTGAGCTGTGCCTTTACCACCAGACTTTCTTTGGGAATGTGAATGAGAGTGGTGTGGTGAGGCACGACCTGCACTACCCCATCCTCGCCCGCTACGTCCGCATCATCCCAGTGGCCTGGAACCCACGAGGGAAGATCGGGCTGCGCCTGGGCCTCTATGGCTGCCCCTACCGTGAGTACCGACCCAGGGGTTCCCGTGTGGGGAGGGGCTCAGCCCCATAGCTGCATGGCACTGGGCCAGCTTTTGTGCAAATGCCAGAGCCGCAGTCTGGCTCTGGCACATGCCAGAACCCTTCTCCAGCTTTCATTAGAGATTATATAAACCTGCCTCGATGGTCAGGACTGTCAGACCTATCTGCTCCCCAGCGTCGGGGTGCCCACTGCTGCAGGGCAATGACACGGCTCTGCCTCACTCTCAGGATCCCATGTGCTCTACTTCGATGGGGATGATGCAATCTCCTACCGCTTCCGGGCCAAGAAGATCAGCACCATGGAAGATGATATCTCCTTCAACTTCAAGACAGTGGAACAGGACGGTGTGCTGATGCATGGGGAGGGTTCGCAGGGTGACTACATCACAGTGGAGCTCAAACAAGCCCAGCTCCTCCTGCACATCAGCTTAGGTGAGCCGGGGCCAGCGGGAAGAACTGAGGTGGGGCTGAGGCAGGAATACAGAGTGACTGTGCGCCCTCCCCAGGCAGCAGTCCCCTGCACGCCACCGAGGGCCACACGACGGTGGCGGTGGGCAGCCTCCTGGATGACCAGCACTGGCACTCGCTGCACATCGAGCGCTACGGCCACCACGTCAACCTGACGCTGGACGGAGAAGTGAAGCGCTTCCGCTGCCACGGCACCTTTGACCACCTCGACCTTGAAACTGAGGTGGGTGTGCAAGCAGGGATCGCCGGGCTGCCGGCTCTGTGCTGTGTCAGTGTGAGGCTGAGCCCGCCTCTCTACCTCCCAGATCTTCTTCGGAGGGGTGATTGACCAGGACAAGCAGCACCTCACCTATCGGCAAAACTTCCGTGGCTGTGTGGAGAACATAATCTTCAATGGGGTCAACATCGCTGACCTGGCCCGGCACCGGAGATCCAACATCCGCTTTGAGGTCTGACTCCACAGCCCCCACCAGGGGCAGGGGTCCTTCCCTGGGGATCGCTGTCACAGAGTGACCCCATCCCTAGAGCCTCATCCCTGCTGTGGGTGACCCCTTTCCCAGGGCTGTATTTCCCTTGCACTGGGGTGATGTGATGCTGGCGGCTGCTGCACTCAGCCAAGCAGTCCCGCGTCGACTGCACGAGGTCACCTCTGGCCTGGGGCATCCATTCAGCAGCACCAGGCAACAAAATCGAGCGGTGGCCATTGTGGCCGTGGGGGGAGGAGGAGGGAGGAGTCTTGCTGCTGTGGGAGCATCTCACACCTCACCGCCTCCTATGGTCACCCCCAGGGCAGCGTGGGCCACTACTGCCAGGACCAGGTGAACACCCCCATCACCTTTGCCGGCATCAACAACTACGTGCAGGTGCCAGGCATCCCCCGCAGGAACCGTCTGGCTGTCAGCTTTCGCTTCCGCTCCTGGGATACAGCTGGGCTGCTGCTCTACACTAGTTTTGCTGACCGCCTGGGCTCACTGGAGATGGTGCTGAGTGAGGGCCAGGTCAATGTCTCCATTGCCCAGCCTGGCAAGAAGAAGCTTGAATTTGCTGCAGGTGGGCTGGGGGCTGCCTAAGGGGCTGGGGGCCAGTTCAATGCCCGTGCCCCCGAGCACTCAGCTCTCTCCACACAGGACATCGCCTGAATGATGGCTTCTGGCACTCGGTGCAGCTGGTAGCACGGGAGGGCTCAGCCGTGGTGACCATTGATGATGACGATGGCGCTGAGTTTCGTGTGGCTCATCCCTTCCAGCTCCGCACTGGCAGCCAGTACTTCTTTGGAGGTGGGTGTGGG